CTTGAAAAAAAAAAAAAAAGGAATGAAGTCTGCGGAATAAACGCTCCCGCCCGGCAGGGGAGTGAGGGGAGGGGGAGGGGAGCGGGGTCAAGTCCCCCAGATTCAGCCCCCGGGGGACCCTCCAGGCACAGGCGGCGGCAGGAGTCGGGGGTGCTGAGTCCACACGGTCGGGGGAACGCTCCGCTGCCAGTTGCAGTCCGACTACCCCCGCCCCGCTACCCAAGCACGGCTCCCGGGCTCACGCGGCCCCGGCGCTGGGCCCCCCCACCCAGCTCGCCGAAACTTTCCCCCCTTCTCCTGCCCCTCAGCGACCGGGGGGCGCCCCCTCCCCCGCCGGGCGCTTGCACGGACTGCAGCCGCCGAGGCTGGAACAGGCACCACCGCCCGCTTGTCGCTACAGTGGCTCTCGCGGATGCTGTAGCTCCCGCTGCTCCTGCCGCGGCCGCTGCAGCCGCTTCTCCCCCTCCTCCTAGAGCCTCAAACTCGGAACCGGTTGAAACCGGTTCAGACTGGGAGATTCCATCTCGGTTGAGTTTTTCAGCCCATGGCGCCGCGGAGCGTTTGGAACCTGGGCCTCCGCCCCCAGCCCGCCCGTCCATTGGCAGACTCCAGCCCCAGCCACCCCAGCCGTCTAGCAGCGATTGGTCCCAGCCGATGTCAATCCTACCTCAAGCCTCCACACGAGCCCGCCGCTTCGGCCCCCGCCTCTTTTCAGCAGCGATTTGCCCGCAGAATGGGGGCGGGGGGGGAGCGGGGCGGGTCGAAAGGGACCGAGGGGGGGGTGCGGGAGGAGGAGGTGGGGCCAAGAGTTGAGCCGTACAGAAAAGAGAGTGAAGAGAAGCCTCGTCAACGATTGGTTCATAGGTGCTGTCAATCAAGTGCAGCCCGCCTCCGACATCCCTTCCTCCTCCCGCCTCTCCCTCTCCCCGTGCTTAGTTTGTAGGCCCTGCCTTTGCGGCCTGCTCATTGGCTGAGCGCCTTCGGTGACGGAGAGGGTGGGGCGCGCATCGTGAGCTGGTGGCCGCGCGAGTTTGAGTGCAGCGCGCGGGCGCTAGCCCTCTGTTTTCCCGGGACCTGCTGGCCCGCCCTCGCTGGCTCCCGCCAACCTTTGGGGGGTGGGGGGGGTTGTCCTGAAACCGCGGACATCCATCTCCACCCACCTCCCCGGATGGGGACTCCCTTCTCAAGGCGGAGAGCATCTTCGTGTGTTTAAGAGGGGAGAGGGCGGGAGAAAGAACCGAACAACATTGGAGATCCTTGTAGGCCCCGGCCTTCTGTAGCCCACCCTAGGGTCTTGGATTTGGGACGAGCGAGTGGAAATGAGAATGTGCTTGGAAAGTTGGGGCTGTGCGAGGTGCGCCCCTATGGCTCTTGGAGAAAACTCTTTCAAGTGTTAGCTCTGCAGCTCCTGCCACCACGCTGCCTGGTTAGATCCTAAAAAGGAAAACATTGTAACCCTTGTAATTGGTTTAGCAGGGAGTGTTTTTGCTGGTTAGACTTGCATGCCAACTGCCTCCCACCTGGTTGCCCTTGGGCTGCTCCGGCCCTCGGCTCTGCTTAGCTGCCGTTCACCTACTTCATCATCAAATACTATTTTCTATGAAAGTCACACGGCACATGGTGCACATGGTCTTTCACATCGTTACTTTTGTTTGTCCCCAAGTGCCCTTCATAACAGCTTTGCTTGCTCACTGAAACTTCTACTGGGCCCGTTCTGCCAGTGATAAAATAAATTTCTGTTGTTTTAAACCAGAAAACACACACACACACACACAGACACACACACACCCGTCAGAGATGGTGAGAATGAGGCAAGATCCAGATCTCTTGTTCTTACAGTTGCTGACTCTATGGGCATCCCACAACTCTTTTTATGTATTTGTATACTTGGATAAAATGTATGTTGTTGTGTGCCTTTGAGTCAGAACCAACCCATCACTGACCCGTCAGTGGATTTTCAGAGGCAGTAAATCACATGGAAGGAGATTGTCCATCCTTCTCTCTTGCTGGTGTATTAGGATCATTTGGTTTGGGGATTGCAGCGCAGATTCTTACCACCATAGTGCCAGAGTTCCCTGATATACAGGCATGTACATGTATGTTTGTTGTTGTTATGTGCTGTGGGTGGAGTACAACTCATAGTGACCCTATACACAAAAGATCTGAACCCTGTTTTATCCTGTGCCATCCTCTCACTTCCTGTCACACAAGAGCCCATTGTGGTAG